TTAGAATGATTATCATTTAAAGAAAATGGGCTTTTGGGATGAATAAAGGTTCTGTATGTGATTGTGGCTTCATGAGTATATACAACGGTCAAAACACACCTAATTGTTCACTTTAAGTAGACACAGCTTATTGTCTGTAATTATATTTTAATCAAATTGATTTTTTAAAGAGAAAATTGACTATATTCTATTATGAATTAAAATATATATACTTACAAATTTCCACGTTCTTGGCATTGCACATGTGTTTTAAGTGTACAATTATAGTGTAATTTTGTGAGTGCCAATAATCTGTCCAGAATTTTGCTTTCCGTAATGTTGTGCTACTTCATGGTCATGTCTCCACAGACGGGAACATTTATGTTGCTGTTTTGTGCCACTAAGTTTTAGAATCTATCATCATGCACTAAAATAACTGCCAGTGGTAAATTCAAGATAAAGAAAAGCAGCAAACATGAAGAATGAAAGGGAAAGTCAGCTCTGGGAGGAAAGGGGTTTACAAGGGAGGGTCTCAAGAGTCTGAAACCCAAAAGGAATGTCATCATGTGGGCTCACATTTGCATTTGAACCAATGCTGTATATCCGGTTTCAATGAAAAGTACACATTTCAGGTTTGCTCATTCTTCACGTCTCAGATCAAAGTCCAGCTACCAGGAGATTTCTGTGTTTAATAGAGCCATTTCTGTGTTTAATAGAGTCTTTTGTTAAGACTCTCATTCTATTCTAGTCCTGAAAGTAGCATGCTGCAGTTTGGCAGCAAGCAAATTCAATTTAATTTGACAAATAATCTTTATAGAAAAACTATCCCAGCCATGTGAGTGAGCGCGGTATTGGACTTCTGACCTCAGGACCATGCAACATAATGAGGAAGACCAAAATAATTTTAAATAGTTGTAAGACAAGATGTAGCATGATCAGTGCACTCAAAATGGGTGGAAACAGTTGCATTCTTGCTGGAGGCCAGGGAAGGCTTCTTATCATAGGAATGTAACAGTGAAAAAGAACTTAAATGGTCATGTGTGGGTGAGGGAGATTCACACCTGGCTTTTATGAAAATTTGTAGAAATACAGATTCATAGGCATTATTCCAACCTTACAATTGAATCAGAATTTCTAGAGTAAAGGGTTTGGAAACCTGGATCTTTCAAAACTCCCAGTGATTATGATGATCAGCTAGGCTTTGGGAACTACTGATTCATTCCCTACCCAATGCTAGAATCCCCTGAACAGTGTTTCTTCAGGGAACAATGCAAGCTCACGACCTCTCAAGGCATCCAGCCCTTCCTAGGAAGTGTGAGTGGGTAGGGTTTTGATCATCAGAAATGAAGGGTAAGGATATGTCAGAAATAATTAGGAAATAGAGGGAGGTAAGTTTGGAGAGGTGACTTGGGGTTTCATGATGGAGTGAGCTGAATATCACACTGAAGAATTTCAACTTTATCCTCTCTGAGATGGGGGCCCTTGATAGGATCTTGGTCATCACTGGGTTTAAAGGCCTTTGAAGCAGATCAGGTTGGAGTACAAAGAGAATGGAAGTTTAATCCAGGAGTTCAAGTGACCCAAATAAGGACTTTAGGTCAGAAGCAGCAGGAACAGCAGTGTGGAGGGAAGTCTAAGCTGTACTGCAGTTCAGCCCTACAAAGCTTGACTGATTGGGGACAAGGAAGGGTCAAAGCTGATTTTGGGGTTTTGAGGTCCTAGAGTGCTTAAAACATGAAGAAGAATGGGAACTGCAGGATCAAGAACAGGTTAAGAAGACAGATGGCTGCCCTGGCTGAAGTCCATTCATGACAGCTTCCCACCCTCTTACTGGGTCACTCTCTTCACCTTCTTCCTTTCCACTCATAGCTACCTGAATGAGAAATGCTTGCTGGCCCAGGCTACATTTTCTCATTCCCTACTGGGCAAGTGCTGTCCCTCCCACTCATCTGAAGGTCAGATGGCTTCTGGCTTTTCTGAGATTTACTTGGCTCATTTCAAAGTAGCTGCCCTAGTCCTAATACCAGTCTGCATGAGATCCGCCCCCGGGTGCCCTTCTTCCTGCACAGCTACCTGGAGCCAGCACTTCCCTGGCTCTAACCTCCTGGAAGGCTGAGAATATGGTCTGCTCCTGTCTTTCCCTCAGCACCGTTATGTAGGCACTTGGCTCATCCTTGTTGAAATGGACAAATGATTTAGAAACAAATGAAAAGTACAGATTTTAATACCACTCTAACCCAAACAAACAAAATAACAAAAAACCAAAAAAATCAAAAAAAGTTTTTGCTACTTTCTAAACACAAGATATTCTGTAAGTTGCTATTTTATTTTCCCTACTTTTCTGTAGTTTTGAAAGGGGTGTACATTTAGAGGATAATGATCTTTGGAAAGGTAATTGCTTGAATGAAGTCTGAGGCTTCCATTCCAAGGCTGGTTCGCTCAGGTGTGTCTCTGCATTTGACCTTTGTGAGATGCTTTAAAATATTGCCCATAGATTCAGGGAACATACTCAATCTCTTTCAAAACATGTCATCTTTGAAGATGGAGGACTCTGCCGTCGCTCTAAGATGGAAATGCAATCAGTTTGTGATTCTGATGATGTTTCAGCTGCTAGACTGGCCCAATGATGAATTTTGAAACACTTCCCTAGTCTAGCCAAAGGTTCCAGGAACTTTCAAGCCAATTTATTTTCCTGTGTGCATTCCCCATTTTACCACAAAGAATGTGAAGAGGCTGTGAGAATGTGTCCAATGAGGAAAGAAACAATTAAATGTAAAGTATCATTTAAGCTTCAACAAAAAATTGCAAGGAGGCAAAATATGACAGTCGGAGACTGAGACATGAAAGACAAGAGCTGTGTCTTAGACGTGTCCAAATGTTGATATAGTTGATGCTGTGCTTCCTTGGAATAACACCCAATGGAAATTCATTCCGTAGCACGATTCTCATTGTCTGTAAGGAGATGTGTACTTAACCAAATTTCCTTCATAGAAGCTATGTTAACAGTGAGAAGAGATGCTGCTCAAGGCATGAGTCTGTACTTTTTAAATGTGTTTTTATTTATTTTTTCATCCTTTGACTATCATTCAAAAATATTTTCTTTGACTTTCAGCACTAATAGTTTTTATTCTTCCTTTTTCAGCTATTTTCATCAGTTTCCAATAGCATCTTAAGCTTTACAGAAAATTTTTTATTGCTGTGACTCTTAGTTTTTACAATAAATTCATAAGTACTTATCAACTATCACTATTAATAATTACACAAGAATTGAGCTCTACACACTGATTTTTATTTCATTTCCCCCTCCACACCCTGCGTATTATACATACTTTGCTCATGGGAATGATCATTTTTGAGGTAAGTTTGATTTTTAGTTTTGGGTTGGTATCTATGACACGGTGTCTCAGTTCCTTTATCTTTCAGGCAAAAACTTGAATTTCTTAAAACCAGTGCATCCTCCAATTGCAAGGCATAATGATTATCATGGGAGTATTAAATCATATTTTAATTCATCCTATATAACAAAGAGCTAATATGCTAATTAGACCCAATAGCTGAACAACTATCCGGATGACCTTCTGGACGAAGCCAGGGCTGCGAGGGCCAGCTGAAGCTGCGAGGGAGGCCAGGGCAGCTGGGGCCAAGCCCCTTGCATGAATTTCATGCATTGGGCTTCTAGTACTATAATGGTAAATAATAAAAATGCACAAGCTCTCTTTGGAATATGTCTCCTATCCATTTTCTGTAAGACTAAATGCCTATAACATCTCCTATTGTTGGGATATAAAAATATTTCTCCTTCTCTCCTTTCTTTAAACAGGATGTTGAGTGACTAATGGAGAGCTCAGAGGGACACACTTTTCCCCGAAGAGATAGGATTCTGTCTTAATAGCCCTCCCCACCATCCTTTTTCACCCAGAACAGCACTGGGCTTATTACTATGTACTCAGTAAATATTTGTTAGTTTGAACTTGACATTATAAATGATTTTGTCATTTATTTCAGTGGTAAAGGGTAAGTAAGCAGTATCTGTCAATTGATAGAATACTCTTTTTAAAAATTTCTTTATTGATTAAGGTATCACATATTTGTCCTCAATGATAGAATACTCTAATTTTCCAAGTTCCTAGTCCAACCTTGACTTCAAAGAAAGGAGCAAAATTCAAAGCTTTTTTTGAGTCCATTCATTCATTTGTGCACATTTGGGGAGAAAGTAAAGTGGACAGAAGGGGGAAAAGTCAGGATACTCTCTGCTTCTTTTCTGCCTTGCTTAACATTAACCATCTAAGTGTTTGCTAACTTCACCCGAAAGGATCAAATGAGAACAAGACGGTAGAAGCTTACTACATGCTAGTTTATTTATTACGGTGCAATGGAATACAATTAGAGGACCTCACTCCTTTATTTCTATGCGATCCACCATCCTATTTTCTTTCCTCTTTGAGAATGATTCATGTGTGCTTCTCCCTAAAATCTGTAGAATGATTTTAATGCTTAGTTTCCAGCATTTTCCTTAAGCATCTTCTTTGATTTAAGGCACCTGGGGGGAGAGATAGATGAGCTTCCACACCAACGGATGATGATTTTTATCTTTGTAAGTGACCCACAGTTTGGTTACTGGTACAATGAGAAATTAAGAAAAGTGCACATTTCAATGACTGCTATTTCACAATACTCAAATCAGAACTGGAATGCCACAAAAACAACTCCCTGTTAGCCCAGAGAAGGGAAAAAAAAAAAAAAGAAAAAAAAAAAAAAAGAAAAAAGAAAGAAAGTAAAGGGGAAATTCAGATTAGTCACAAAGAAGTTCCCCGCCTGCTGCAAAGCGGCAGTGTTAAAACTGAGAGAGTCCGCTCTGCTCTTTCAATTGCCTCTTATCTCTAGTCCTGGTACCTCTGTGGATTTGCTGATTGATACGCTTGGTTTTGTCTTCATCTCCTTCTTGGCAGGAGAGACATCCATTCTCTCTTAGACCCCCCCTTTGGCTCAGTTTTCATCTTTGCTGCACCCAGACTGTGAAGATGGAAGGGGTCCAACCCCTGGATGAGAATGTGAGAAACGCGCCAGGTCTGAGATTCCAGACGCACAAGCTCATGCTGGTGGCCTCTGTGGTCCAGGGGCTGGGGCTGCTCCTGTGTCTCACCTACATCTGCCTGCACTTCTATGCTCCTCAGGTAAGAGGCACACCCGGCACCCTGTTGCTACCAGCTCATGCTGATGGCAGCTCCAAGAGCTGCAAAGGGTCATTTGGAAAGAATCTGATAACCAAATTGTCCAGGTGTTGGTTGTTCTTCTTCCCCCTTTAGCAATTTTAAAGTGTGGTTAAACACCCTCTGGTCTCCCTTTCCTTCCCTTTTCTCAGTAGTGGCATGGTGGGGCACAGTGGAGGTAGGACAGGGGTGCTGCTGCTGGGTTATTCTCTTTTTCTTTGTAATGCAGGAATCCTGGTATTCTTTTATGAGCCGTCACTTTGAAGCTTCGAGTCATTGATAATACCTGGTTTACCCATTTTCTTTAGTGACTGATCAGGGAATTAATACAAAAAAGAAATAAGTATGAGCTCAGTTCCACTTTGCCATTGTATTCATAAAATCCACTGACACTCGTGAACATTTGCTTCTGCTTGCAAAATGCTGAAGGTATCAATAGTAAGTTCTTTTAAATAGCTAATAGTTCTTTCAAAGGTAGAGATCTATGTGTTCCGTGCGTTTGAACACATGGCCAAACATTTATTCCAAAACTTACCCCGATATTGATTCTCACAGCTTTTCTCTACCAATCACAACGTACAGACATCACTAAGTCTATTTTATACTTTATCCACTATATTATGAGAGGGCTGCATCTTTCTAGTATTTCCCCCACCGAATGAAGATATTCCTTGCAATCCCCCTTCTCTTTCTTCTGATTCCCTTTATATATTTTTTTCTTATGTATTTGTTCAGACCTGCAAACATTATTTGGTCTTTAAGGATATTCTTGACTGCTGACAACTCCACTGAAAATAAATGTACAGTCTGCCCGTGTTCCCTTGTTGAGGCCAGTCTGATCATACTTGTTTCCCTGGTGGGTTGCTTGGGGTTAGAAAAGTCTGTCCCTGGTTAAGATTAGACAATAAAAAACTTTTATTTCTGATGGACAGGTCAGAGTCTGGTTATCTCAAAGAAAACCAGATTCAGACGCCTGGCAGACGCCTGGGCTTGCCTCTGCCCCCGGAAACAGGGGTTTTCAGTGCAGAGAGGCTGGTGGTTGTGATCACTGTACTGCAAAAAGGGCTTATATTCCCCAATTCCCGAAGTGTAGCAGGTGTTATGCTCAAGTCTGCAGACTGGCAAGCACAGCACCACACTCACCCTCCTCTCATCGTGTCATGCCTTTCTTTCTCACTGCCGAACCTTTTGGGTGCAATTAAAATAGGCAATTTGGGTCGCGAGTGCAGGGGCGGTGCAATGTATCCATGGCAGGGTGCCTAAAACGCAGACCGGAATTAGGCTCTTCCGAGAAGAAAACAAAGAGCGTAACCAAAAATAGAACAGCTGAGTGCATGCACCAGGTCTGGGAGCCCTGAGAGTGCTTTTTCAAATAACCACAGTGTCACAGACATCCTTACGCTGTGACGATGAAAAGACAGGACAGATGGCTCCAGTCAAGACTCAACTAGGGCTGTGAGTAGGAGAGAGCCAAAGGTGAAATAGATGTATATAGCCCGCTGGTGTCAGAGTAGAAATACCCAGGGGATGCTGAGAAGGAGAGGGGCCCTTGATTGAGCCTGGAAGGAAAGCTGAGTGCTGGTTTCCAGGACACTAGAATTCATGGGGAGTATTCTTTGATCCTGGTGCAGAAATAGAAGCAAGGATATTGGAGATACATTTTTGGCACAGACTTGACATGAATTTTAATTTTTCTTATTTCTAGCTAGACTGTTTTAGCTAACATAAATATCTCATACTGTTATAGGATGCAGCACAATGGGTCCTTACATTTAATCTCATATATTTTTTTAAATGGGGGTGGGGGAGAGGAGAGAAATAGCACAAATAGATCATGTATATTCTCCCTGGAACTTGATGAAATGGTGGTGGTGGCAGTGTGTGTGCACGCACGCACACACACGTGTAATTTTGGTTGAAGTATTGGTTAGATGATGACGCAAAAAAACCCCTCTATTTTTAGAAAACAATACTACAATGTATTGTAATGTTCTAATGTTGCAATGAATTTCCTTTTGGGTGTTATCCCAAGTGAGCTAAACTACTCATCATTCACCCAGTTAAGTTGGATTTTTTTATTGTAGGAAAAATATATTTGGAGAATAAGAATTTCCCTCATATTTTAGATCTAATTTTTAGCTTTATAAAATAATTGATTATATGAAAAGCTCTGTAAAACACAGATATAACTATTAAACTCATTGAGCAACTAACTTTCCCCTAATCATTCCATGACATTAGGTTGATTTCTTGCAAAGCAGACGTTCTCATTTTAGAATGTCAGAAAAATAAAAGATAGACCTTTCCCTCTCATATAAGTCACTACCCTCTTTGGGCTTTGATTTCCTCATGTTTTAGCAATTGGATCAAATGATCAGAAAGATCTCTTCCAGCTCAATATTCTATGAATATGTACTTTATACATATATTCAGAGAATGGAATGAGGTTTTGAGAAATACAAAATATAAGTTAGTAGATTTTTGTGCCCGAGATGAATTTCCTGGTCCTTAAGAAGGGATGGGAGAAAATAAAATTTGCACCTATAGTTGTACATATCTAAATAACCTGTTATGTGTTAGCAAAATGCCCTATTGAGAAGGAGGAAAGAAATGGATGCTAGAAGAATATCTATGGTACGAATTATAAAACTGAGTGCTTCTGTCACCAAAAACAATAAATGCTATTTGGATATTTATTTAAAATAGTAGGCTTTTAGTTTTACCTGTTATTTAGCTTGGAACAATGGGAGCAAAGTAGCTCAATTTACTTTTATCTCAACCTGTGGTTCTTAACCGCTAGCAGGGTCGCCTAAGACCATTGGAAAACACAGATATTTATATTATGATTAATAACAGTAGCAAAATTATAGTTATAAAGTAGCAACGAAAATAATTTTATGGTTGGAGTCACCACAACACGAGGAACTGTATTTTGGTGGCGTTAGAAAGGTTGAGAATCACTGGTTTAGAGAGAAAAATAAGCTTTTTTTTTTTTTTTTGCCTGAAAAATCTTGTTTCAGATTAGTTCAGTTTAAATGTATCCTCATGTAACCTAACAAGAGTTGCAGAAATTCATTTTTTTAGTGGGGGGGGGGGAAGCCAGACACGCAAATAAATGATTTTCAATGCAAATGAATTTACATTTCATAAGCGATTCTATGGTAATAACAAAGAAACATCTGAAGTATTGAGCTAATTTGTCATTAAGTATTTGGAGGCTCTAAAGGGGGTACTAATAATAACGTATAGAATCATTGCATTTAGCGGGCATTACACATAGTCTACTTACAGATAAGAAAACCAGAGAGGATAAGAGCTAGGAAAGAGGTAATGCTACAGCTAATATTAGAAGGAAGAGTAAAACGTCTTTAAGTAGACAAGAAGGATGGTTGTGGTGGGGAAGGGGTAGAAGATTTTCTAGGTAATTGTTCAATTGATTGTTCAAAATGGTTGAAGTAGACTGTTTTTAGGGCAAAATCGTGGAAGGTAAAGCTTGAAAGGTCTTGTGACTCATGCTAGGGAACACACTTCCTTCCATTCCATGCAAAAGAAAATATAGGAAAAATTACCCAAATTGCTGAGTCTCTAAATTACGTTTGTTCTGTGGTTTACATATTTCTACAGATAGAAAGTGAATCTGATCTCATGCAGCACTAGGGGGCGCTACAGTAAAACTAACCATTCTCAGATGGCTTAAAGCCTACTCTCTTTTCTTAAGGAGTCAAGATAAGAAAATCTTTTTTGGGAGGGAGGCCAAGTACTCAACAGGTGTAAGAGGAAGAACAAGAGAAGCCTCATCTGATATTTCATAAATGAAAAATTTTGATTTAGTACAAGTTGAAAATAGGACAGAAAAATTTGTACTGGGATCATACTGGAAATGTCACATGTGTCTGAGTATGGAAACACACACACACACACACACACTTGTTGGGGATATAGATGATTTAGGGATATTCCACTTCTCTGACTTCAATCCCTTGTTATAGGCACAGAGTAGATCCAGTTCTGCCTCGGGCTAATCACTGCCCTTCTAGTCCTATTTCTTTTAATAGAAATTACTTCTGTGTCTACTCTCAGAGAACCTGTACTCCACACCTCAAGGATTCTGCATTCATGGAAAATTAACATTAACCTTCTGGAATAATGTAGGTGAGAAGAACCATATACAGTGTTGTTAAGAGTGAAAATAACTGACTTTCAAAAGGTAATGTTCACAGGTAGAACATATGGTGGCATTAAGATGAAATAGAATTCCATGTCATCCTATGGCTTGTGTATTTTGTTTGTAGCCACTCATACTTTCAATATCCATATCTTTTTAAATGAAGGAATCAACACACTTCCTTCCAAAAAATACAAAACATCTCTAAGTTTGAACAAGTCATTGAGGTATAGAGGAGAGCATGTTGGACCAGAAATTAGAAGGCTCTGGTTCAATTCAGTCTTTAATGTTGTGACCCTGAATAAATTTCCTGAAATTCCCTGAGCATCAGTTTAATTATTTTCACAATTGGAATTTGATAGTTGTGAAGAGCAATTGTGTTACAGAGCTTTGGAAATGATGATGATTATTCAAGGACATGCTTCCTAAGCACTGCACCACTGAAGTGTTTTCTTTGTAGCATGTACATACACACACACACACACACACACACACACACACACTCTTACACACACGTCCTATAACTCAAATCTCAGAAAGCGTATCATAGGGTTAACCTTAACTTCATGGACTTTGCTTCCTTACTATAGTTTTTAGGATTACAAAAACCAGCTGGTATGTGAATCATCCCTTTGTCCAGTATCTCCATAGCTGCAGACATTTCTGGCCTATTAATAACTCAGTTGCTACCTTGGATTTCGGATCTACTGTTGCGATATTGCAGTACTTATGTTCAAGTCACCCTTATTTTACTTAATTATGGCCCCAAAGTGCAAGAGTAGTGATGCTGGCACTTTGG